CCGTGTGCTTCTGTGATTAACTACTAATCACCTAAGAAAACTCCTAAGAAACCTAAGGAAACAGCTGAAACAATAATTTGAATGATAACCTGGCAATAAGACAACAAAGCTGCACTATGACAAGACAGCAGCTAGGAGCCACCTCCAGGGAGTGACATCTAATCCTACTGTCCACTGTGATACATGGAATTTTCAAAAGGAAAGGGACAGCAGCTGCTACAGTTTCCATCAGGAAGAGGTAAGTCCTTAGCTTAGAGAAATGGAAGTTGATAACAGCAACACTCTGAGCTCTGTGGCTTATGCTTCAGCTGAGCTAAGCCCAAATCAATACCCGTGACTGAGCTTGACTCTGTACGCACAGCAAGTTGGACAGCCAGTGGATGCCCACCAACACTGCTCCTACCTCAGGCATCATGTTGTTCAAGCAGGAGTCACTACTTCTGCTACTTGGTTAGTAGTACAATTTGGCATTGTTTTCAGCCAAAAACCTTGGAAAAAGTGCAGATTTTTTCACTGCAGAGAAGCACTGAAAACAACATAAGAAGTGATACAGTAGCCTGCTGATAACACATGATCAACAATTCAGATACCTGCAGCAGACACATAGGTGACTATGAGTATGATAAATATTCAACAGTATATTTTTAATTAACTGTTTCAATCCCAAGCACACACTTAAGCTCTGACAGACTGCCACAAAGATCAAAACATTATAAATTGCAGCTACTCCTGATTTGTATCTTACTCAGGCAAGAATTAGATGCTGCACCTTCTAACTTCAAGAGTTCTCTTTGGATGTTGATTTTTTTCCCCAAAAAGCTAAGGGGAACTTGAACAGTAAAATTATTTTATTTTGAGGAACAGAAAGTAAATAAGTATTATTTTAAGTCTCATGTAGTGAATTAGAGAAATAAAGTTTATAAACTGTAGTTTTTTGAAAGAAAACATGCTTCATTTGGTGACATTTGCTAAAAACACTTGTATTCACCATGCCTTGATGCTTTTTTAGTTTATTTACGACTCTGCTAATGTGGACTGCTTCGGTGGTGATGCTCCCACCTAAGTAGTAATATAAATCAGTAGGATGCCAAAAGTCAACCACACTAGAACATTTAAATGCTGTTGGGTAAGTGAGACGCGTGAATACAAAATGCTGAGAATGAATAGTAAAAATGTAGCCAGCCACATCAAATCAGGCTCTGACTTTCTTAATTTGTACAACTGCATCATGCCCAGGGGATACCAGCACTTTTAGGGCCAGGTTCTCTGTCTGCTGCAGAAGAGGAGGACAGTGATGAGTCAGGATTGATCTAAGAGGCATGGAATTACTGGGAATGCTGGGCTACTGCCTCATCTCCTCCATGCTAGCAGAAATGCATGTGAAACACATTGAGAAACTGACCCATGTTCTTCTGGTTATCATGTGAAGCCACAGCACTGATCGCATCTGGCCACTGAAGAACCAAGTCTCAATTCTGAACACTTACGTAGCTTAATCAAAAGTGACTCTTGTGAAATTAATGTTGGTAAATGAGCATACAGAAGACCTGCTGTGCTAGCCCCTTTCCATTACTGCTTTCAGTATTTTGGTTCCATTCCAAAGAACAACTATACTTCTATACCCCCAATTTTTTCCTTCCTTTCAAAAAACAATACTCAAACCCAGAAAGATCAGAGGCAGTAGTTTGGGGTAGCATAGAGATAAAACTATGATTCAGTGAGAAGGAACATATCAAGACATGCTCAAATGTGGCTGTGGATCAGTACAGGTATATGTGATGATTCTTTCATTCACCTCACACATCCCCTGCATTTGAGGTTGTTGAAGAGATTTAGTTTTAGCTTCTGGTGCTTTCTTTAGCCCCAGTGCTTTATGAAGTAACAATTAAGACCTCAATAATAAACAATTACATAAATAATCATACAGACCATTGCAGAAAGTGTGCCCTTTACTTCTCAAAAGCGTTCAGATGAAACTGTATCACCAAAATAAACAAGCATTCTGAAATATTCTCTTGCTAAAATGGGAACAGAGTCCTCAGCTATTCCCCTAGCTGGCACACAGACTGCATCTTTACAAAGGTATGTTTTCTTCTGCCTGGAGAGACGCAAAACTAAACAAGGTTTTATAGGGATTTTATTTTCATCTTCCATGCACAAAAGAAGCTTTAAGCTCTAGTGCTTTTAATTTATGTTACCTCATAAATTAATAACGTAAGTATGATGGAGGGCGGCCCATCAGATTAAATGTGTCATTTTATAAAGCAGTTTGGATGCAAGAAGTACAAAGTCAAGATGAAGTACTCTTAAATGATCCATTAGGTGCATAAATCATTACATATGTTATTTCTGGACTGGGCAACAATTGAAATTAACAATAATTTGCTTGCCCAAGAAGTGAAAGAGCAGTGATGACCCTGCAGTGCTCTCCTGAGGCCTGCTAGAATTTCCTGGGTCATCTCCCAAGGACAAAGTCCTGCGCAAAGAGTGCACAGCATCCTTGGCAGCAAGCATGGGACAAACCGTCCCAATTGATCTACATTTGGGCACAACTCTTGAATTCAATGGAGCTGCACAGGGAGCCTGCGTCAATTTGTATATGAATGCAGGTATTTTGGCTTGTCTTAATTCAACCTCAAAAGCAGGGAAGAGATTTTTTGTTGGGCTCCACTAGCATGGATACAATTTGGACAGTTGCAACATTGCTTCAGTGAAATCAGGAGCTCTCTGTGCTGCAGACACAAGTGGTATGACTACTGGTGCTTACACAGGATAGTACTTACCATGTAACTACTTACTACTACTTATTGAGGTGACTTAGATGTCATCTTTCTACCTTCTCTAACTATCTGCTCTTCATTTATCTCATTGCAAATTCCTGCCAAAGGGTTTAGATATGTATATTATAAAATACACGAATGTGGAAGATAGAAGTAGCAAATGATTGAGGAAGTTTTTTGTTAGCACCCCATCAGAACTATTAACTGTCTAGAAGCCTATCCAGAGCCTCCCTAACAAGTCTGGCTGTGCCTGGAGCACAAGCTTTTCTGAAGGTGGTCATGCCTCACAGACCTATCAAGTCTCCAGATAGTTGCATACACAAATACAGGGACTAACTAGGAGGCGATTCTAAAGCCCAGAATCTGACTTACATGCAAGTGAGATCTCAGCCAAAATGGAGTGAGGAGGTGAAAAGTACAGCAGTTCTTTGTACAGCACCACTGAAATAACTCAGATAACTAGCTACAAAAACACATGGTAGGTGACAGTTCTCCTGAAGCTCTGCCTCATCCAGAGAGCAGAAAGAACCAGAGGTCTACAGAGACTTGCTCAAAACCACAAAACAAACCTGCAGTAAAGCTAAGAAACAAAGCCAAATCTCCAAATACCCATCTACCCTGACAGCAATAAAAACCCTGCAAATTCCCTCTAGTCAGTCTACTATTCAGACTCACAAATGCACATTCTTCACAAAGCCTGCTGCAGGCTGATTAGTAATGATGTCCCCCTGTATTCCAAACAGGCTGCAGGGCTTGCACCTGCTCTTCGACTCACTCATCACTTAATTAAATGGAAGACGTAAAGCTACCAGCTGTATCAACTAACTGCAGCAAGGAGGAGTATAATACCAGGGATATGATGAACCACAGTCACCCTCCACTCCAGAATTCATCAGTATTTAGAACATTGTTTGAGCACAATTGGAAAGAAAAATACAGGCTAACCGAAGAAAACAAAATGTAGCTGTTTGGGACTAACATTCTTTATTGTTTTTAGATTCAGGTGTTACTTTCTCTACTCTTCATTCTTCTTGCATCTCTGAAGCCTATATGTCTGCTACGGAGTAAATGACAAACACAAGCTGAAAAACAAAATGTGGCATCTTATGAAAACGTCTTTATAACTACTGGGTTCTGTTCTACAAACATCAGTGTTAAGTCCCTCTATCTGCAGCTGCCTCAGTAATTTAGAACAGAAGGAAAATACAACTAAAGCTAAGAAGCACAATTTCAATATTAATAATGTTAACCCTAGTAATCTGAGGTATAAAAGAACTAAGTACCTTGAGTTCTTACATGTTTGCTGTAGTGAGTTTCTTCCCCACGGCTGCTTCTGCAAGCTAAGAAACAGGTACTTCTTACTGTTTATTTTCTAAGCTACTTCATTAAAAAGCTGTGAGTCCCACTGTGTAACAGAAGGGGAAAATGTTGTTCACATCCTTTCATGTATCAGGGAGGCTCTGACACAGGACGTCCTGATGGCTGATTCATCCCATCTGTCCCAGATGCCTTTTTTAAGCCAAAAGAAGATGAAATGAAGGAGCGCTCACCGAGAGGCGGTCCTTTCAGCAGCAACCTCAGCCCCTCATGGAGGATGGGCACTCAGGGCTTTCCGTGAGTGCTTCAGGCTCTGTGGGTTTGGCATGCTGTGAAGATAAGGTGTGCTGAAGACAAAATGCTGTTCTTGGTTATGACTGTGCTTCCTCCCGGAAATAAACAAAACTGCTCCAGTTTAACTGGGATCAGAGTCTAGGCTTAGATGTCGGGGCATAATGCCAGGAAAATACTGCAATACCTTTTTGCTTGACTATTTGAGGCACTGCACGAATCTTGATTTCGGAAAAAGTTTTTTTAAGCTTACTCAAGAGACTGCTATGAAAGTCAGCTGCGAGGTAGAGGAAGAAGACAGTGATGAAAAAATGATAGCCACAGGAGTTTGAACAGAAAACTCTTGAGAAGTAATTACAGAAAACACGGACCTCCATTAACTGAATTCTAGCTATTTTAAATAAACCCAGACTTCTTAGTTTTGGAGTCAAACTGTATTAAGAATAATAACAACATCTAGCGCATGACGGAATTTATTCAGAACACCCTTCAACAAACCTGAAGAGGCAAGCAAACGCAGGTTCGATCTAATGAATAAAAAGTCTGCTTAGGGGCAGACCACCATGCAAGAGCCACAGGGAAAAAAACAAAACAACACAAAAGCTCCCATACCTGTACCTCTGCTTCGGAGACTGCTTTTCAGCTGACTTAAAAACATGTCCAAGATAATACAAAGGAAAGAATAAAAAGTTCCAGTTTGTTGCAAACCACGTTAGAGTGAAGGGCGCATCAAATTTCTTAAAGGTCAGTTTTGCTAGCTGGGTTGAACCCGACCAGGATGAGCAGACACCCAAGACCACGGCCACACCCCAGAAAATTTTCTTGAGTTGCGTCACGGAGCATTTCCAGCAACAGCGGCTCACCCTTCCACCTCCTTCTGCCCCGGCTTGCATCTGTGCTTCAGCTGGGGCTGGGGACTCCCGGGAGCGCTCATCCCCTGGGGAGAAGAAAACACAAGGCTTACTAGGGAAGTCCAGGTAACACTTGTTTTCACACCCTGGGCCCTTCTGAAATCAGCAACTTACCAGCAAAACAAACAAACAGTAACAACAGAAAGAAAAAAAACACAAAACCAAACCCAAACCAGACCTTGCCACAAAATGCCATTCTTTTTTAGATCATTGCAAGGCCTCTGGTTCAACTGAGGCATAGAATGTAAATAGTAATTATCACCTCTAGATTTAGGAGCTGCTGAGTAAATGGAGATTAAAATTGCATGTTGTTCTGATGTACGTAGAAAGATTTAACACATCACTTAAAACTGATGCTGTTGGGGTATGTAAATGAATAAAAAATATGGATTTGAGTGTAGGGAAACAGCAAAGGAGATTACAGCAACACTCGAAATTGCTACTGCCTTGGAAAATATGGAACTGGGCAGCTTATGCAATATAATGACTCTTCAGGAGGAGGAAGGGCACAATGTGTTTCATCTCACAGTTAAGCATGACCACCACCATGTACGTTCTGTGATTCATACTGAACTTGGATCATCAAGCATTTCAGTGGTCTCCAGTTCTCCTAAGGTTGTAGCCCAGGGGCATAAATCAGACCAGCCCACAGGCTGCCCTAAGAGCATCTCAGACTAGGCCACCCTTGTTTTTTTCAGCACTAGTTCCGCACCAAACACAACACAGCATGTTAAATTCAACATATCCCTGTTTAACCGAGCTCAGGATTCTGCCCGAAAGCTCAGTTTCGCACACACCTCACTGCTGATCCCAGCACACAGCATAACATAGCAGAGGAGATTCTCAGGACACACCTCAGCACTCACCATCCCCATCACAGACACTGCACAAACCAGGCGACGCTTTTAAAGATGTCACCTGCTGTATTTCTGATCTCAAATCAACCACATGACAGCCATGAAACATAAGCCTCCCCTTGGCTTATGTTTCTCAAAACGTGTCTCTTTTTCATACTGTGGCACTGGGTTTAATGTTTCCTTTTCTAAGAAGACCTTGTCCCTTTACTTATCTCCTTAAACATAAGTTGTTAGAACCTTCCTATCTTACCACTATCAGCAGGCACCGTATCTAGGTTGTGACTGAATGAGTAACACCAAGCTAGGTATTTCAATTCTTCCTGAGATCTAAAGGTGCTGGCAGACCTCATCAGCAGACCATTGCCTTTAGGGAGTGTAAATTAATCTCATTAAACTACTGCTGAAGCTGACAGTCACCTGCATGCTACACTCAGCAGGGATTTCTCTTAAAGGGTGATTTCAGTTCAGTTGGTCCATCCATTTTAAGAAGAAATAACAGAAATTCATGCTGAAATTCAGTAGTCTACAACTTCAAAAGATCCAAAGGTCACTGGCTGTACTGAAAGGCAGAAAAAGAAATCTAAGTACAGCAAGGATACCGAGAGACTATATTGCCAAACATTTATATATTTTCAAAGTAGACTAAGAGAGATCTGCACACAGAAGTCCTTCCTTATACTGGTGGCCATTGGTGTTGGGAATGGACAATCTTTTAAAAAATCTTACTGCAGGTTAAACTAAATTTGTATTTACCTGATTAAGCTGATTTATTACCAAATAAAAGATTTATTCTAATGGATAAGCATATTTAATTATTGCTTTATCTACAAGAAATCTATGATTTAAGAAGTATCATTAGTTCATCTGGTATGGTTGTAACACAAAAAAACTGTGGCCTCTGATATCTTGAGATCTAAGAAAAACATACAGCAGCAACAGAATAAACATCTAGATTACTGTTGGTGTTTGAGTGGTTTTAAAGTGATGGGATGTTCCTGATCTCTGCACTTACTTCAGCTTTCTACAGAAGACTGTGTGGGCAGCTTCTCATATAATGGGAGGTAAATCAGCAAGCCAATAAATTATCCAAAGTTAACACAGTGTTGTGTTCAACATACAGCGGGAAACTTACAAGCTACCTGCTAAACATCAGAAGAAGTGAGAAATGAAATAAGGCTGAATGTGAAGCTCTAGCTCATTCAAAAGCATTTTAATGCACTTTCTTTACACCACTTATAATGAATGCCTCTTTCCCTATTACCTGCACAGATTGGTCAGGGTTCATTGTACAATCATTTCAACTGCACCAAATAGTGAAGGTGCCAGCACCTTCTTTACTGTCCACCACACAAACCCTACAATGATGACTGAATTTTTAGTTTTCCCTCAAGCTTTTCTAATGGGCACTGTCACTGTAACACCAAGCTGTGAGACTTCACGCATATTCATGAACACCCATGGGAATGCTTCCCAAGGAGGACAGCTGGGCACCACAAAAATGAAACCAGGAAGGCCACTGATGTCATCTATCAGGACTTCATAAAGGCCTTTGACAATCTCACATAACATTATTCTCTCCAAATTGTAAAGATAAGGATTTGATGAGTGGACTGTTTGATAGATGACTGCAAGATCGTACTCAGAGAGTGATGGTCACTGGCCCAATGTCTGGATGGAGATTAGTGACAAATGGTGTCCCCCAGGGGTTGGTAGTGGGACTGATGCTCTTTAATATCTTCATCAATTATACTGAGTGCACCCTCAGCATATCTGTGGATGACCAAGCTGTGTGGTGTGTTTGATATGTCCAAGGGACAGGATGCCATCCAGAGAGACCTGGACAGGCTTCAGCAGTGGGCCCAGGTGAACCTCATAATGTTCAATAAATCCAAGTAGAAGGTATTGTACCAGGGTTGTGGCAATCCCCACTATCAGTATAAGCTGGGGGATATAACGATGGAGCACAGCCCTGTTGAAAAGGACTTGGGGGCACTGGTGGAGGCAAGATGGACAAGAGCCAGCCTTGTGCCTTCAGAGCACAGAAAGCCAACCATATCCTGGGCTGCATCAAAAGAAGTGTGGCCAGCAGGGCTAGGGAGGTGATCCTGCCCCTCTACTCTGTGCTGGTGATACTTCACCTCGCGTACTGTGTCCAGATGGGGAGACCTCAGAACAGGAGAGACCTGCTACAGCACGTCTAGAAAAAGGCCACAAAAATGATTCAAGGGATGAAAAATTTCCCTCGTGAGGACTGGCTGACAGAGGGGCTGTTCAGCCTGGAGAATAGAAAGCTTCAGGGAGATCTGAGAGTGACAGTATCTAAAGCAGATTATAAGAAAGAAGGAAACAGACTTTTTAGCAGGGTCCAATAGGACAAGGGGAAATGGTTTCAAACTATAAGAGGGTAGATTTAGACTGCATATAAGCAGCAGTATTCTACAAAAGGGTGGGGAGGTGCTGGAACAGATTACACAGAGATGTGGTGGATGCCCTGTCCTTGGAGATATTCAAGGCCAGGTTGGAGGAGGCTCAGAGCAACCTGATCTAGCTTTAGGTGTCCCTATTCATTGCAGAGGAGTTGGACTAGATGATGTTTAATGGTCTCTTCCAACTGAAACAACTCTAGATTTCATAATTCTAAAGCAGGGTGCAATTTACTGTGCTGAGGACTTGCCGGCCGGCTGGCACGCATGACATCCAAAGTTGTAGCTCTCTTGCCCAGTCCCTGTGTTCCTGCAGAAAAAGTTTCCCTCACGAAAGTCACAGGTGCACAGATGGGGTGACCGAACCCTCAACATGGATGAGAAGCTTCTCATCCTATTTGTAAAACTGCACAAGGGCCAGCTGGCACTAGACTCTATGGTAATTTAAAAATGGTAAAATGGCTTTTTCAGAATGGATGAGGCAGGACTTTGAAGAATTTTATTTCTGGACATGTTCCTCCAGACTTCCTGTGTTCCTTCCTTTGCCCTTTGCAGCACACTGCTCTGCATGCTACTGTATCCCCAAAAAGAGTAAATCGAGATGCTAAGATGGATCAAAAATGCTTATCATGCTTTTACTAAATTTAGTTTTTCATTCTCCCTTTTGTTCGTTCATTTTCCTGTTTCATAAATCTCAACTGGAACCATTCCTCGCTCCTTCCCTTTCAGCCTAGCAACTGAAGGAAATCACCTCCAGTGCTGCTGTCAATGTCATTTCCCACTGGGATACATAACCCCAGAAAACAGCCATTCTCCATTTCCTCCATTAAGGGTGAGACTTCTTTCAGATAAGTCCATAAACCTGTGGTAGGGCCATCTACACCTGAGCTAGTGAACCCCTGCTTCTGGTTAAGTTTAGGGAGAAATCAGGCACTGGAATGCACAGCTTATCCTACACATGCCTTTGATGAAGTGGCCTTTATCACTGCCTACAGTTGCTTGCTTGCGTTATGTTAAGAGAAAAGCCACCCAGTGGTGGTATCATCTTTAAGCAGCCTGTCCAGTCCACTTCAAGAATCTTACACCTCTCTTAATGACTTAAGGCTCCTGTGCACAGCTTGCCAGTTAAACATTTACCATAGGGCCATAATGTACCACACTGCCGTTGTTAAACATGTGATACTGACAGAAACCATGGGTGGCATTCAACTTACCAGTCTGAGACATCTGCTGTGCAAATTCATGTATCTGAGACAGTCATTTACACATTCTGCATAGTTAGTAGACACAAAAAAAGACATTTCCATAGCACGATTTATCTCGTCTTAAAGGAAATGATAAAACAAGCCAGATGAATCACCTTCTCCAAGTGCTTGTTTCTCTCCACTAGCCCTAAACAGGCTGAGGTGGTAAGCTCAGAATTGACTAGTGTAGGTGACTGAGTGAAGTTCCACCTCCCTACCACGGCTGTCAGGCATCAAGAGTAAAGCCACACAGATATCGTGGCAGGCTCTGAGCTGGGCAGATATATATGTGTATACAGTTGTCAGCAGTGAACTGCTTTAGCTGTTCCAACTCATCAGCAAATGACTGAAAGAAGTACTACAAAAGCACAGTGTGCCTTTGCCAGCCCTTCAGAGACACTAAGAACAGACTAAGGTCCTGTCTATTAGGGACTGAAACATGCACCTAATGATTATGTACAGCTCCACCAGCTTCCCCAGGCTATGAATGTGCTTGAATGTA